TATATATTGCCATATTTTCCCCAGCTATCAAAATCAAATGATGAGATAAAAGAGCAAGTGCTGTATATTTTCATCAGAAAATATTGATTAGGTATTATTATCCATGTTGTTTGGGGTTTTCTTCCACTGTGACTGCCTCAAATACAGATTTGGTGCTGCACGCACAGTTAAAGGGCTCCACAGCGCTTTCTGCCAGAGTGATGGTGCAGAGGTAGCCCATTTTCCCATCAATGTTTTATGTAACCATTTTTTTTTTTAATCAATACTAAGAAGTGAAAGATCGATATTATATTGGGCAGCCGAATATCACGATATATATCGCCAAATCGATTATTTCCCACACCCCTACTCGGAACGATTTGGGAATAACAGTGGTTTTCATACCTGCACCATGATCAAGGAATGATTAACAAAAGATCTTAAATTAAAAACTATCATATCCAGTTATGATTAGGGTATCATTAAAAGTGCACTAAATAGGTAACTGTGCCATTTTGTTCCGATTTCTTATGTGTTGCGTAAGGTGTTTCTTTTATTCACTTCTGGTCTCCATTTAAAAAGAGTTTTATGGTATCAATAGAACTTTGGCTTTAAAAAATGGCATTAAAAATGTAATCGTGTTCTTTTTAGTGTTTGTTAATAAGATCACTTATCAGCCAAACTAACTGAAATTAAGTGCTTATGACATAAGACCTGACCTTATGTACCTTGTCAAATGTCTAATGCAAAAAATAAATATAATTATATGTATTACTATTGCTTCCCATAAATAGTATAGAGATGTGTTTTATGCTGTATTAAGAGGTCTTTATAATCAGCAGCTTAGATTTACTATTTAGTCTTTGAATGAAAGTAATTTGTAAATGAATAGGCTCAATATCAGAGAGTTAGAAAAACAAAAACCAAAGCACAGCTGGAGCTCTCATTTCCTCTGACTGCAATCAACCAAATTCGACCTCATTCAGTAGTTTTAAAGCAATAATTACGACGCAAGCAGTGGTAAAAGCAGATAGTAGGATAAATGTCTTTAAATTGCTTTCCACAAACATATATCCAAAGCTTACACATGTATAAAAATCCCTTACATAAATTTATCTTGAATTTAAAAGAAAATACTTTTTATTAGCAAAGCTGAGCAGTGGAGAGTACAACAACACTGTGACTGTAAACTATTAACAAATTCAGCTGGGGGGCTGGCCAGCATAGGATACAATACTCCATTTGCATCTGTTAAAGCCAGCCCTTTCATCTCTCATGCCATTTTCACGCCCTTGCAGCTCCATGAACCCAGTTGTCCTCCACCATTCATCCGAACCACGACACAGTTCTCCTCTGAGGTAGATCAAACGCTGCTTTCTCTCTCGCTTTACAGGGCTGAATTTCGTTGTGTAAATAAGACGTAACCTCTCCGTTGTCTTGGCTGATCTATTCCATAATACATAAATGTCCATAAAAGTACACTCACTAGGCCAAGACCTCTTGAAAGATTTCAATGTGTTGCAGAAAATGTTGTAATTCACATTAGTTGATTACCTCAAATGAGCCTCCAAATAAATACAAGCACTTGGTAATCACTTGCTATAATAATCCTGAGGAGTTCTTTTTAATCTGCCACACCATGCTGACATAACAGTGGGGATGTCAGTATCAGTATTTCCACCACTTGGCTGTAGCATTAAACCTTCCGTATTAAGAACCGTTTTGTGGTTGTGGTGATAAAATGCTGCCGACCAAACCACAACTTCCAGGACTGAGAAGTAAAGTCGACATACGTGTCAAAATCTTTAACTAATTGATTTACAAACTGCAATTAAGACATGAAATGTCAGGCTGAATCTAAAGCTTAAAATACTTTAGGCTTACCTACCTAATTAGGTGCGACAAAATCCCAGAGTTAATGAGTGGTAAGCCAGCAATTTGTTGTGATCATACAGTCTAGTGTGTTTTTACAGTATATTTTACAAATTGTGCAGCAGTCTCTAAAGTGAAGTGTTGTAATCTTTGATTGTAATGCTAAAAACCTGGGTTCAAATCTGAGTTACAGAGACAGTATCTGTAGAAAAATCATAGTCATCTTTCAGCAAGTTGTAATGATTTATTGCAACTTAAATTGTTTCAAATTCCTAATCCTAGTGGCTTCACTTTTAAATTATTCTGTTTCCATCCATCCATCCATCCATCCATCCATCCATCCATCCATCCATCCATCCATCCATCCATCCATCCATCCATCCATCCATCCAGTTTATTTCACTTTCCGACTGGATTGGCTTTATTATTATATCTTCTCCAAGTGGTACAAGCTAAGAACAGCTGAAAAAGTGCCAAGGAGGGATCCCGAACAGATGTCACCTCACTGACCCCTCCATGAAGTCATATGGGTAAAGAAGTGTGGCCTACAAAGTTTTAAATAATATTCCAATTTTATTTTGAGGACAAGGCTGCTTTTTTTTCAGTAAAAAAAAAGGCAAGCAACTTGTCGGTTAGTTTAATACTAGTAAGGGCTGAAATGTTGCTTTTGTTCAAGAATGCAGGTGTCTGATTTGTCTTTTTTTTATATCAGGAAATAGGAAAAATATTGCGATACAAATGTATGAAAATAAGCTCTTGACCCCATCTTTAAGGCTGAGCTATGCCGCTATTTGAAGGAAGCACCTACATTATTTATAGACAACATTAAAACATAAACAGTCGTCTAAGGCTGGAACTTCTTTGGTTCACCACATTTCCATGCTGCTCATTTGCTTAGCAGGGTTTTGTGATTAGTTACAAAGCAATAAATGAACCAGCCAGAACAGTCCACAACCAAATATATAAACACCTGGAAAGACCAGTTTAAGCTTCCATAAACAACAATTACCTCCTGCTCTTTTGAAACACAGTATTAACAAATGCCTTTTAATAATTACAATTAAATCTTTTGTACTGTTAGTATCAGCTGTTGCTGATAAGACTTTCAAAAACCATATTGAAGTAGTGAATCTTTATCTACTTATCTTTGCTGCTCTAAGGTGTAGTCAGTGCAATGTGACGAGAAGCTCTGGAGTCATAACTGTCTTTATCTTCAGGGAGCACATTAATCATGTAATTCACAACATCCTGGGTCATAAAGGGGTGGCATAAAGTATGATCAACAAATAGCTCCTGAAGCTTGAAGTACTGTGGTAATTAATCCAATTTATTTATATGCAATACTTGATTCAAGAGCAAATAATTACTTAGAGACGGGAAATTTAAAGCCCCACTAATTTATGAGGATGGAGGAATTGTTCCTCTGGTCATGAATCAGAAGAGACTCCTCCATTTTTGAGGTGATATGTTGGAGAATATCTGCAATTCCTTCGTCGTTTCACTCCAAATGAACCTGATTCTGGCATAAGTGAGTTTGCTTCAGACATAAATCCAGGCGGACAGAATTATGTATGGGTATCTCTGCAGATTAGGTTCATGTTCCCTCAGAGATAATCATAATCAGATAACCATCTTTGAATGCGTTTCATGAAATATTCATGACCCTTAAGCTTTTTCATAATTTCTTGCATATTTTTATTGTGATTTTATGGGCTAGATCAGCCAAAAATGTAGCATATCTGTATAGGGGATGTGGGGGAGTGTATCACTTGCAAGATCTGGATTGCAATTTTTTCTACCCAAAGCCTGATGCAAACTCCTCTAGAACTTCCGTCTTGATCTGTTTTTTGTGTACTTTAGTCTTTATGGTTCGGCTTGGTAGATCAACATGGTCTTAAAAATTAGAAGCATTTAAAATATGCAGACTGTTTTGTTGTTGTTTTTTCTCAATGCATTTTGTTGCATTCGATTTAGGGGTAGCAGAAAAAAGAGCCTAGATCACACTACCACCATTACCATTTCTAAACATATGTTCTTCCATCCATAGTTGGCCTATGCGTTATTTTGTGCATCCCTATCTCACAAAGTCTGATTAAAACACATATCTGCGTTTGGCTGAACACCTGCTCAAAAAAAGCAACTTGTAAGCTGCATGCATCAAAGTGGCGCACAGAAACAACCCGCTGCACTGAGGGCGCAGACATAATAACCATAACTGGCTTTTGCTACGTGACACACAAAGACTCAGAGGGAATGACGTAATATCACATCAGCCCACATCTGTGGATGTTGGACTCTGTACAACTGAAGGTCATTCATCGATTGAATCAAAAAATCAAATCGATTCTGTAATGAACTCCTGTGGTGGCAGCATGCTCCTTGCAGGATCGAGGCTATCCCGTCTGTCATACATGAACACAGATCCGCACGTGCTTTGCAGCTCCAACTCACTGAATGGAGAACAGCGCGGGATGGATAAAAAATGGAGAGATGTTGCTTCTTTCCATGCGTTTATTTTGCGAGGCGTACTCTCTGCCTGCACAAACAAATTTGCATTAAATTGAACATTAAAGCCTTTAGATGGATTTGACTCATCCATCATCGTCGCTGCTTCTGCAAATTTACAACCTCTGCAGTCCCTTTCTGTGCTCAGCTGATCAGCGTCGATTGGGGTGATATTAATTGACAGTTAATTGGACTGGAGGATAAAGGTAAAGGTATTTTCTTGGTGATAATGCAAAGAGGTTACTGCAAGTCCCCGCTTTGCCACTGCATGACTTTGGTTATACAATGATGCCTCATTCAGAACAACAAGGCAGGCATCCCCCCCTCTCTCTTATTCCGACTAGGTAGTGCAAAGGTTTAGCGGGCATCTACGTTTTTATATTATAGATGCATGCAGGATATATTGCTGGGAAATAAAAGGCACTTGAGTCTTAAGCCCCGGGGCAACAGACGGGGCAAAGCGCACGGATCCTCTCTGCGCATTGGAAGGCAGGCTGGCTGAACCCCCGGATAGCGCAGTGGTCATTCATCAAATCATCCAACTGTCATACCTGCTTGATTGATCAAGCATGCGGGAGGAAAAATGCTTAAAGAGAGGTGAAATCAAAATCAATAACAGGTGGACACCATTTAGGGTCACTCACCTAACTTTTGCTGCCACAGAAGATATCGCATCGTTTCTTAGATTCTTCCTTTTGGACGCGGCAGTTCCCATGCTGACATGGAAACGACGCAGATGGGGAAAGCGGTCATTCCCAACGCTTGGAGGAATGCGACAAGGAAGAGATAATCGTGAGAAGAAAAAAAACTAAAAATAAAAAAGAGAAAGAAAAGTTGGAGTAAAATCCAGGAGCTGGTGGGTTTTAGACGCGCCTCTGGAGAGCGGAGAGGAGAAGGACGGTCTGCTGCTTCTGCGCGTCTCTCTGGATCTGAGCACGTACGTGGGGTAGCTCAACAGCTGTGGCTGAAAATCCACACACAGACACCCCTCTCTGCTCCTTCACTCTCTCTCTTTCATTGATCCAGAATCCAGTCAGAGGATTGTAGGTTTTTTGGCGATACCAGCATCACTCCTCAAAGAGAAGTGTGTGCCACGGCGGGACTAGGTGAATGTGGGGTGCCATTCTCCTAGTCACAGCTTGGGGAATCATCTCTGTTATCTGAAGCCCATAATACATTTATTTAGGATGTTATGTAATCGGTCATTTGGGTTAAAGCCCGCCACCCCTCCCCATCTGACACACGTTGAAATGGACTCTAATGAAGAGTCAGAGAACAGAGGGAGCAAAGCAGAGCTCTTTCAACATCAGAACTACTTTGATTTTATTTATTTGTTTTTGATTTAATCTATAACCAACATTATATGGTGATTGAAAAATAACAATAAAATTAACTTCCCATGAAACATTTCATTACAATTGTGACAGATGATAATAGGAATTTGTAATGTAGTTTATTGACAAAGCAACAATGTAATCAAGGCTCTTAACATGATTATTCATATCCAGATGGAGATAAGCAATGCACTAAAATAGAATCATAGTGTGAATCTAATTCAGATGCACGTGACATTCACTTCTAGTGATTACAAACTAAATTTAGACTCAGTACAAAAGAGTTATAGGATGCCCAGAAAAGTGATCTGCTACTACTACTACTACAACTATTACTATTACTGTTGCTACTAATACTACTATGGCACCTACTACTGCTATTACTTCTACTATATGAAAATGATAATAAAAAATTTGGTTCTAATAATAAGAAGGAAAATAAAAAAACATAAACAGTTTTGTGTGTTTTACATAGCAGATTGAACCAAATTAAAAACACCAAAGGTTTTACATAATCAGTTACTTCATTTTTAGTTGTCTTGACATTTTTTTTGTATATGTATAATTTGTGAGATGCAACTTCTTAATTTGGTAAAATCCTGTTTAAATTAATCAGTGTATTATATGTGTACCTGTTGCACAGCCTTATTCGGCTGTTATTCTGAAATTTACTGTAGGCTGACATCTTCAGAGACAAATGAAAAAGATCCACGTAACAGATCCAGCTAAAATGAAATATTTATAACTGCATTTGGAAGCATATACGTGTAGGATTATATATATCAAGTTGCATGGGTATAAAATCTTAACGAGACAAATAACTAATTCTAATTATATATTTTTATATTCCTCCAATTCGATTAATTTTACTTCCATTAAACATTTGTTTGTAAGGTTCCCACTCTGGCCAAAAAAGCTAATGTTTAAATGGTTAAATATCAACATAACATCACATGAAACCTTGCAAATGATGATACCAAATTTGGGGGTTTTAGTCGAAAGAGACCTGAAATTGGAGACTGATGCCGTTTCAACAGACTGCAGCAAAGGTTGCATTCGTGCAGAAAGAGCCCCCATAAACCTTTTTTTCTTTTACTGTCATTTAGGAACTTAGCACCAAATAACTGAAACCCTTTGTTTTTTTCCAGTTGGCAACCACGAATTTGGACTGAGAGGAAAGGAACTGGAATATGAATATTTCTAAAAAAAAAATATTATATTACCTTTTATGCATCATCAAGTACAAAATAAACCTTTCTATGCTTCAGGTCAGAAAAACATCCACTGAGGAATGTAAATACAAAACAGTTAATTCTACTCTATATTGAGAATTTCCCATGATTTACATAAAGCTCTGATCTGCACCTTTTTTTGTACTTTGAAAAATCCTTTCCAGCAATGTCTAATAAGTGATTATTCACCAATTTAAAGAAATGTGTTGCTAAGGTCCCATCAGGATTACAGACTTAAAAGAAATGTCTATTTTCACTGTAGATGCATGTTGTTTTTTTTCTTACAAGTAATGGCACATACATAGGTCACATAAGCAGATGGAAGAATGTGAATCTATTGAATCAGCCATTAGCCTTCAAACAGCAGATCAATCAGTTGTGCAATCCACAGGTCATTTCTCTTGTCTTCATGGTGTGTCCTTGTTCTGCACATACACCGGGACAGTCCCTCTCACACACCATAAGACAAAAGGAATGAAAATCAATAAATAAAGCAAAGCACCACTGGGTTGGTGTGAGCTGCTGTAGACCATTAGGCAGTAAATAATTCCAGGCAGCTCTGACGAGACTGAGGAAGAGTGTGCAGACTGTAGATGAGCACATCAGGAGAAGGTATAATTGTCTGGAAAATGCATTGCAGAAAATATTTCCTTCTTTCAAGAAAAGCCACAACAACAAACATGATAATAAATAAGTGAGCTTTCAAGCATCAATGTGCAACATGGTTTTTCGTAATACGACAACACATGGAGTGTGCTCAGTAATCTCACCGAAACCTGTAGGATTTAACCGTGAGAAACAGCGAAGTAAAACGTTCTAAAAAGGAAAAAAATAAAATAATGAAATGTGCAGGATGAGAAAAAGAAAACCTTTAGGCATAAATCCACATCTGCCCCAGGTATTAGTGTATCCACTGACCCTGAAACACACTGTCCATTTGATTTATGGCGAAACAAATCAATGTTTGACTCTGCAACACCAAAATGGTTTGAAGGGGCTACATTTACACTCCAATCCCAAATCAACATTTTCACATCTGCAGAAAGAGTCTACTTAAAATAAAAGTGTTGTGAACCCACAGTGCATTAGATGTTATAACTAAGTGATTGATATTCAGTAAGTGAGGACTGTATTATCCGGGGTTTAAGTGAGTGTAGGCATGGGAGAACTCACCACTAGTCAATGAAGAGTTTCATAACAAGTGTTCAGTAAAATACTGTCGGCTTCTAGAGGGTGAGTCATGCTGAAATTGGTCATTACGAATGACATTCCCAAAGGGCAAAGTTTCATGGTCTACAGAGGAATTCCATTCCAAACACTGCAAAGATAGAGGGGTCTTAGAAATAGAATGAATTGCACATTTTAGTGCCAGAGCCAAGACTTGTAGAAGGCCCATCCATCCATCCATCCATCCATCCATCCATCCATCCATCCATCCATCCATCCATCCATCCATCTATTCATGTTTTTCCACTTATCCATCAGGGTCACGGTGAGCTTGGTACCTATCTCCAGCTTATCTGTTGCAGGCCAGTAAGCTATATGCTAAAAGCAAATAAATTAAAGGCAAGAAAAGGCAAATTTATTTTGCAATTAAAAGTTTTTTACATCAACCAAACAATAAAATAAAAGGAAAATAGAAATAGAAGAAAAGCAGGTAAAGATGAAAACATGAAAGATTAAATCATTATTTTTCATTATGTCTCTCCTAAAAGGAAATAAAAATAATATAAACTATAGTATTTTTCTCCTACTGGCTACCTTATTTGCTCCTGAGTTGTTTAGATTACATGATTGCTGCATGTGGCACCTGATATTGTAGTCCGCTTCTGATATAGAGCCACGGACTAAAGGTCTGGCAACACAAAGAAACACTGATAAACAACAAAGAAGTTCTGTGCAGCCAAAAGTCCTTTGAGCTTCATCAACCTTTAACGTTTATTTTTGTACACACTTGTTTACAAAATGACAATAAAATCTGTCTATGCACTTATTTCCCCCTCAAAATGTTCTTGGCAAGCTTAGTTTTGTCTCTATGCATCTCTAGTAGAGATGAAAAAAAGGTTAAATTGTTAACAGTTGGAAAAATATAATCAACAGGATAATTTCTTTTCACCGTTAAGAGTTTAACCACCATGTTTGGGTCTACAGTCTGATTTAGGCAGGCTCTTTGGACAGGCTCTTAACAGCTGTATAATGGCGGCTGAACTTGTGGACCAAAGGCTCACTGCCAGTTTATTCCTTACTTCTGAAAATGTGAAATGTTTAAGAAGCAACCTTTTGTTAGAATTACAAGATAAAAAAAAATAAAATTAAAATAAAAAAACAATCATACAGAGGTAGGAATATTCCTAGCACAAGTGCAAGATTTCAAACCTCTGACTTTTTTTTTGTCCAAAAATGTAAATGTAAATGTTGTAAAACAGATTTACCTCTCTCATTTCAAATCCTGTTGAATCCAAACTTGCCAGATTTAGAAATAATTTTGCGCCTGACGCTGGGTCAGCTATTTAGAGCTAAGTCTTTCTCAGAGTGAAAATTAACAATAAAGACACTGAAATTTTAAAATTGTCTGACACTTTAATCAGCTGATAGCATGTTTCTTCATGTTCTCCCTGGAGTGATGACATTCAGATTTCTTTCTTAAATTAGAGGTAAGAAAAACAAAAAAAGGACATTCTGTTTCATTTGAGTCTATTTCCACCCTGCTGACATTTCATGCAGAGAAGCTACATTTTGTCACACATTGTGCAGTGCTTGAGATACTGTACTAAGTAAGGAATTTTTGAATGCACTATAGGGACATTTTAGCCCTTTGGGGGAAAGGGATGATTAATGCATGTATAGACGAGATGTAATAGAAGTCATCATCTTAAAAGTGGATAAAACTAAACACTAGAAATTCTGCAATTAAGACATTTATGAATTCTGAGAACCCCCCAAGGCAATATTAATAACTCTTAACTAATAAAAAATAATGGTGTCTTAAAGCATTATGATTTAATTTAATGAGAAGGATCAGAAGAGTAAACGGATTATGCTGTCCATCATTAATTAACATTGATAGTGCATTATAAGCTCATTTACTGTATTTCTCTGCTTAATTAAGTAACACACTCATTACTAGTTGAGAGAATGGCAGGATAAAACTTTGAAATGATATAACTCGGTTGTTTGAATTAACTCATATGATATAAATATGTTATGTGATGTATTATGACTTATTTTTATGTTCAAAAAGTCAGACAAATGGATGACACATATTTTCCAGTGAGTAGAGACATTAATGGTGGAAAACGGATGGAGTGGGTGATGAGTCATAATCTTAGTCACATAGCCATTTTTTATTTTTATTTTTTTACTAGCTGGTTAATGCTGTTTTCTGTGGGCTCTCAGGTATTCTTTGACTGCAATTTTTATTAAAACAAAATCCTAGTACATCAAATCTCCTATTGCAAAAATTGCTTTTAAGTATTCTAATTTATTAAATGTCAATAATTATTTTAGCATTAGAAATTTGTTGTTAATTTGCATTGCTGGGAACAATGATGAGTAAAATTCAATGCCTTAGTGTACAGTGT